CTCTGCTGCGTGCCCGCGTGCCGCGCGGGGCGGTGGCGCGACATGGCGTCGTGGTGGCCGGGGCCGGCGTACCTCGGCGGGAGGGCAGGAGGCAGGGCACGGGCCTCTCGGCCTCCGCGCAGGAGTCCCTGCTATAGGCCCTCGAGGGCAGCGGAGGTTGGGGTGGGAAGGGGCAGCTCTAGGCGCGCAGGCGGCCGTGGATGCGCATAGGGCCTGTCAGGGGGAAGGACCTGCCAGCCTGCTGGTTTTAAAAGGCCTCTGGAGACCCGTCCCAACATAACTGTCAGGGACATGGCAGAAAGGAGCATCTTCACTGAAAAATGGTCTGGGTACCTCCTGTTGGCCTTGTGCCATGTGGCCGGGCAAGTGTGCGAAGGCTTGAAACTCTTCAGTGCCTGGCCTGGACTTCTGAGGGAATCAGAGAGGTTGGTTCCTGAGCCAGGAGTTTGGGATGCTGCTGGACTTGGCAAATATTGTGCAAAAGAGTACAATTTCTGCAGAAGAGTTTAGACTTTTGTAGAGCCTCTCTCATTCCAAGCATGAGGAAAGTGAAAACAGAAACATTGAGAGCCAAGTAGAAAATGAGGAAAGCAGCACCAAAATGGTCCAAAAGCTTTAAACTTGTCTCAAGGACAGAAAACTGGCAGAAGGAGGAACTGCCATGAGTAAAGGATGCCATTATTCTATATGATTGATAAATCTGAGATAGTGAATGAAATACGTGGATTTGCTTTCCATGCACTCCATATAAGCCAAGAGCAGATAAGTAGGAGGAAGGGAATCCTCAGGCTCAGTGAATACAACTAGAATAGCTACTCTTGTTCTGAGAACTGTATGAACACTATCAGCACCCAGGAAGTCTGTCAATATTTTGCATTTGGACTGAAAACGCTGTGGTGAAGGGCTGAGCGAGAATGCTGTGAATTCCCCATATAGAAATAGATGAAATAACCTGAAACGTGCTGATTAAAAAGATCAACATGATTCCCAAGTGAAAAGGAGAAGGACCTTTAATCTCAGTGTAGTCTCCTAAATAACCTGCCAAATGCAAAACAAAAATGTCCAGGATTATGTGAAATAACAGTGTCATTTTGAAAATGTGACACAGATTGGATTCCAGTCCTACTAATCCAAAATGCTGTGAGGGAACACTAGTGACACATATTTCTAGGATGTATTTTTGAGTATTTAAATACCAGAGTTGGCTCTGAGTTTCATCTAAACAGTATCGTGAGATGTGTGATTTCTAGATCATGGATTTGGATCTCTTGCTGTTCAGAAGATTTGGGTTCTGAGGAAAAGCATGCTGAGGATGCCATTGCACCATGATATTTACTCAGGCATGGCCCTTGTTGCCTTATCCCCAGAAACAACCTTTACTGATCTCCAGAGTCCAGATTTCTCAGGATATGGGGTATGAGTGAGTGCTCACTGAAAACAGCTCATCAGAGAGTGACCAATCTGTATTTGGGATGGACAACCTGCCATTCAGTTCAGGTGATCCAGAACAGAATGTGTGATACCAGGCCTTCATCCAAGGGGTGGCAGGTAGGAGAAACAAATACTGTACTGTTTAATAGAGAAGTTTTCTTGGATAGTCAAGGTAAACCTCTGTTTTAAGTAAATTAAATCTTATCACCTGAATTCTCCCTGCTCCAAAATAGGCCTTTTTTGTGGTTTTAATATTTCTGTCATCCCTTCTCTCCCTTTTCCTTTCATTTGATTCTTCATTGATACAAGGTTTCATTTAATGTGTGCTTTCAGGTATTACTGGTAGTGGCAACAGGATGTTTTCCTTTTTGCATGAGTTATATTGTGGTTTGTTTGTTTATCCTAAAGGTGAGCATTTTGGCAAATAAGTATTAGCTTTTTGTTCACTTCCCTGTTTATTCTGGTCATACAGCAGGAGAAGAGTGAAAAGAATATGGGTGAAGTATCACTACAAGTTTACTCCGTTTAGGTGTTTCAACATTTTTATTTTAAAAATAAGGGGGGGCTATTAGAAAAAAAAGTGTTGAATCTCTTCTTCCAAGAAGAGATGCAGAAATCGTGTTTCAGGTTTAAGGGGGGCAAAACAAGTATTTATCCAATGAGGCATTTAAATAATAGGTCTTGTGTTGTTACTGAACAATTAATAAAGGTGTTGATGCATGGACTTCATAAATGCTTATGGAACAAAGAATCTTTTGTCCTAACACAGCAGTAGAAAGAAATGTTTGGCAAACTTTGGAAGTAAAACACAGCCAGGTCAGAAGAAGAATGTGGTTTCATAATACATTGTCTGAAGTGGAGAGGTGAGGTGTTTGTCTGAAAACATGGTGCACTCAATCTTTTTTCTTCATACTCACCAATTTATTTTGCTATCACAGACAAAATACAATTTAGTACGTACTGTGTTGCACTAAGTTAGTCTGCAAATAAATAGCTTTATTCATCTCACTTTACTGAACCAGTCTGACTTTTATATTTTGATACAGATATCTTTTTTCCTTCTGTTCCTCATTTCTGTAATTTTAATACATTAATAGAAGACTGTTGTTCAAATGATGTCTCTAACTTTCCACTGGCCTCAACCCAAGAATGAATTCATGTGAATAAAGTCTTTGCTTCACCTTTCAGAGAGAAGCACTAAATCTCAAACATGTTTCCTTTTATATTTGTGTAGCTGTGCTGTTGGTATTAAAACAATATTAATCCAAATCTGTTTGAAAAGACATTCCACATGAGGGTTTTGATAATAATTAATCTCTTTTTTAATAAATATCAAAGCATGAAAGCAATACTGTGTGATCACCTGCTCTGACCTGAAGCCTATCACAGGTCAAAGAATTTAATCCAACAGTTAACAAGATTTTTCTCTAATGAAGGTATTTTAGCAATGGCTCATTTTTCTTCTAGATTTCAACTTCATCTGGATATGTTTCCTTTTCAAACTAGACATCTTTCAGATTCTTGTATCCATCTGCAACTTAATCTTTACTACAAATGTCTCCAAATTAAGAGAAGGCAAAATGACAATAACAATAACAAATGATTGATTAGCAGAGATGGCATATCAAGAATAAAGCACCTTTGATGCTCTTTACACTCTTCTGTACTGTATTATGTTGGAGGAGAACAAAGGTGGGTTTAATATCCCCTTTGCAACTCCTAGACTTGGGCCAACTGAGGATTTGGGGAAGCTATGCAAAAGAGCAGCCCCAGTGACTGCTTTTAATCTGTGCAGCATCAGACCCTTTCAGCAGTCTGGAATACTTCGGAGGGCAGCATGCCCTTTTGTACTCCTCGCTTCCCCAGCACAGTCACCTTCACTGTCTGTCTTCAATATAGCCTTCAGTGTGTGGAAAGCTACAGGGTGTAGAATGTAGATGTAGATGTAGGGTGTAGATGACTTATTTAAACAGTGCAATGCCGTCAGGCAACTTTCATGATATTGTTGAGATGGAGAAATCTACAGGATTTACACTGTTGTCACGAAAGAGCTACTTTTTCCTCCAAATAGGATGGATGTCATGTTTTCCCAGAGATCGAAAATTACTTGGGTTTATATTTCAGATGTTGGTGGTTGCTTTGGGAGTGTTTTTGTGTCGTGTTGAGTCTGTTAAGGCCAAGTCTACTGACTCTTTTGTGAACCTGAGAACCGTGGTATCTTCACATTCTACATGGCTTCTGCATTCCTGCGTTTTTTCTAATAACCACTGGGTGTCGTGTGTCTCTTTGAATTACAGTACATAGGGAAGGTCAAACGGTCTAATCAAGGACTGCCTGTTGTCCTTTTTTCAGGATGAAAAGGACTTTATCTAATTTATATAAAATTACAATAAGTAGTCCCAAATCTTACTTTAAAACAATTTTATTTATATACCAAGTGCAAAAATAAAGAGATAGGGATACTACAAACAACAGCCTAATTCTCTACATGATTTATTCCCAATACCATTTACCCAGTCAACTGAATGACACGTTGTTTGGTGGAAAAAAAGATGTCAGTAGGTAATTAAAGATAGCCTGATAATATAAATGCATAATGTAGCGGAATTAAGGCTTCATTGGTGATTTCAAATCTGTATTTTCCTAATTGATAGGAACTATATTTGACACGACTATATTTGAGAATATTTTTATAAGGATTTTGGCCTGTTATTTCCTGTCATCTTTACAAGCAAATGAAAAGGCAAAAATTCATTACTTTATGTGCAATGGCAACAAATGTACCTCATGCAGAAGAGAATTTGCACCTTGAACCTTTAGTGCAGACCTCTGCTACGAAGGATTAAAGACTAGCCATATTAATTGCACATAGAAGGATTAAATTTTCTACAGACTAGTTATTAGAAGGATCATATGATACAGTAACATTGATATAGCCATGTGCTGTGCCTCACAGTACAGATAGATGAGCCAAGGATATAGACTGGACGTAGGCTTTCCGAGAAGCTCAGATGCCACTGTGACTCAGTTGCTTTCCCTGTAGGCTTGTTATGTTAGATGGCTGAATTATCTGTTGTGTGTGGGTTCTCTTAGTAGTGGTTGAGGCTTTGCTCTAATAGTACAATTGTGAAACATTCAGAATTACTAGAGCCATTTAAAAGACAAATATAGAACTGGCTCTTGGTTCGCAGGGCAAAGTACATTCCCCTATGCTAGGGGACAGTAGCAGGATCCATTTTACCTTTAACTTAGAAACCTATGCTGCACAGACTGTAACAGCAAAACACCGAACAGTTTGTGTGCAAGGCTACAGGAATTGTGAGGACTTCTAGAAGCAGATCAAGAAAAAGCTGCTGAGTGCTGATTTTTCCAGTGGTCTGTATATAGTGTAGCCAAATCTGAACAGACTTTTATGAGACTAGAAGGTAGTGCCTTGATGATAGTACTTCACAGATCTTCAGACCAAC